GTGTGCTTTGATCTGCATTCAAACTCTAGTTCTTTCTTTGGATGTGGATAGCATTTTCTATCATGAGGCCTTTGGAGATGTCTCAGATCCTTGTCTATCAATTAAGTCTATCAGTTTTCATTGCACAGCGTGGCTGTTGCTGTGTACAATGTTTTCCTGGTTCTGCTCATTTCACTCAGCATCAGACCATACAAGTCTTTCCAGGTTTTTCTGAAGTCAGCCTGTTCATCATTTCTTGTAGCACAATAGTATTCCATTACATTCATATACCACAACTTGTTCAGCCATTCCCCAATTGATAGACATTCTCTCAATTTCCAATTCTTTGCCACCACAAAAAGAGCTGCTATAAATATTTTTGTACATGTGGGTCCTTTTCCCATTTGTATGATCTCTTTGTATTTCTCATTTTCTGCCAAATTAATGTATAGGCATCTAGAGCCTTTTCTCCTTTTCATATTGGCTGATGCATCTCCCTGTCTACTGTTAGTGCTAGATTCTAGCATTAAACTCCAGTAGCCATTTCATGATTTAAAGTCCTGTAGTTTTGGTTTCTAATAACATTATTTTGTTCCTGTATAATTTGTTTTCTTTTATAGATATTATTCAGTAAATCAGTCTTTATTAAGTGCTTACTGTGTGCCAGGCACAATACTAACCACAAGAGATTCAAAGAAAAGACAGAAATATTGCCTCTGCCTCAAGGAACTCACATTCTAACGGGGGGGGGGGGGAACACAGCATGTAAATAGGTGTCAACGTAGATATCTACCAAGTAGATGGGAAGTAATCTAGGAGGAGAAAGCACTTACAGGGAAGACCTGGAAAGGACTCCTGCAGAAGGTAGAATTTGAACTGAGTCTTGAGGGAAGCTAAGTCATGGAAGTGAAGAGAAAGAATATTCCACATATAGGGGATAATTAGTTACAAAGGCACAGTGTTGTGAGATGGACAGTAAATGGGCCAGTGTAGGTAGAGTTCATGGAGGAGTAAAGGATAAGAGAAGTGGAATGGTAGGAAGGTGCCAGAACATATGAAAAGCTTTAAATGCTAACACTTTTATAATTTCTCCTGGAGGTAACATGGAGATAGGATCACAGTTGTATTTTTTGGGCAGGGGGGTTAGGCAGTGGGGTTAGGTGACTTGCCCAGGGTCACACAGCCAGTGTTATGTGTCTGTGGCTGGGTTTGAACTCAGGTCCTCCTGAATCCAGGGCCAGTGTTATCTCCACTGCTGCACTTTAGAAAAAATCACTTTGAGGGGCAGCTAAGTGGCACACTGGAGAGAACACCGGACCTGAAGTCAGGAGGATCTGAGTTCAAAATCTGGCCTCAGACCAAACACTTGACACTTACTAGCTGTGTGACTCTGGGCAAGTCACTTAACCCCAGTTGCCTTTGAAAAAAAGAAAAGAAAAGATCACTTTGGCAGCTGTATAGAAGGTGGACTGGAGTGAGGAGATACTTGAGGTAGGGAGACCAGTTAGAAGGGTATTGTAGTAGTCCAGGTAAGAAAGATAAGGAGAGAAGGGGGTGTATATGAGAAAGGTTGTGACAGGATTTGACAGTGGATTGGAGATATGGAGTGTGAGTGAGTCAAGATGGAACTGAAGCTGAGAGCCTGGATAACTAGGATGTGCCTTTATATCAGTAAGAGGGGAGGGTTTTGAGGGAAAGGGGAATGAGTTTTGTTTTGGATATGCTGAGTAGGACCTCAAGCTTGAGATGTCCAAAAGGTTGCGACATGGGACTAGAGGTAGTGTATAGATTGGAGAACCCATTTGCATAGAGGTATTAGAAACTATAGGGTAAAAAAAGGCGGCCAACAACAGAGCCTTAGTTAAGGAGTGTGAAGTGGGTGAAGATCCATCAAAGCAGGTTAAGAAGGAGCAATAGATAAACCAGTATCAAGAAAATCCAGAGAGAGGAGTATCCAGGAGGTAGATGAAATATCAAATGCTTCGAAGGTCAAGAAAGATGATAAGGATTAAGAATAAGTAATTAGATGAAGCATTTAAGAGATCATTAATAAATTTGGTGAGAATAGTTTCTGTGGAATGATGAAGTTGGTTCTGTCTTTAGAACTAGATTGTAATTTAAGGTCACGATGATATTAACTTCTTTTTTGTCAGGGTCAGCACTACATAAGTTTAACAAATGGGTATTTACATGTTCTTATACCTCAAGGAGTTTGATTAAACTCCATTTAAAAAACCCTCTTTAATTAAAAAAAAAATCATTCTTTTCCAGACTCCAAAAAACAAAGCTACAATCTTCAAGTTATGCAGCATCTGCCTGTACCTGCCACAGGAACAGCTCACCCACTGGGCGGTTGGCACCGTTGAGGATCACCTCCGCCCTTATATGCCAGAATAGAGTACTGGCCAGCAAAATGGGGAAGATCACAGAATGCAGCAGCGATTTTTTTCTTGTTTTCTTACCATTTTATTCTTTCAGAGTTTAGAAGAAAATGGACTCATGCACAGAACACTATACATTGTGAAACTTCTTCATCCTGGATCTTTCTTTTATCATTTGTATCTCGGAACTTAAAAAAAAAAGATGTCTTCTGCATGGACCTTGTGAAAGAAGATGCTTTGCATATTTCTGCATTGCATCAGCATCTTACTAAAATGTGAAATGAAAGGACTGTTGTACACTGAAATGCTTAAATGTATCTGAAAGCACAAGGTGAAATTCATTTGTGATGGTCTTCCCATTTGTGCTGGTTATGCCTCCCCAACGTTTTGTCATCAGTATTCAGAGGGTGAGAAGTGAATGTAACAGGTATATACATTTTTTTAAAAAGCAGCCTTAGCTTGCTGTAATCAGTTCTAGACCACTGTCCAATTCATTCTAATGAACAGAAATGGTTGCTACAATAGTAGTGGGGAAAGAAATCTCACATAAAAAAAGAATCATTCATTGTAGGCATTTTTGCCTCTTACTTTTGCTGGGTCATGTTTATTTCCTAGCACTTCAATGTGTCTTTTTCAGATCTCTTTCCCCAAGTTGCTGTGTAAAATGAGTATTCTGCTGAGTGGATACAATTATACACATTAAAGCAGACCAGGAGTCTGAAAGTAGCTTAAAGCAGCTGTTAAAACTAAGACAAAATATATTTATAGCTGCAAAAAAACATACATGATAGAATTTTTGTTTTCTTGAAGAGATGACACTTACAAAGCTGGTAAATTGTGCAGGAAATACTGGTTTCTAAAATGTCATAAAAACCCAGTAAGGTAGTTTTTGTTTTGGGTTTCTTTCTTTTTTTTTTGCATAGAAATTATAAAACAGTTGTGATCTTGAATTGTAAAATAGTGTTTTTGGAGTGTCAAAGTTGGTTCTGATGGAACATTTTGTTAAGATTGTGCAATGAACCTAAGGAAGACTACTGTATAGGGGTTTTTTTGTTTGTTTTGTTTTTCTTTTGTTTTTTTTTTAAATGAAGGCTTTGCTTAAGGTTTAAGTACTTTATTGGAGTAAATCTGTATAAGCCTGCTCCCTTGGGGTAAAAATTAGTGCTTACCTGTTTCAAATTTATATTTAGCTTTTATTTGGAATTAGAAAAACAGATCTAAATAAAATAGGTGAAAGCTATCTGACTTTGTATTCATGTTAATCACACAATGGTTGGTTATGGCAAGGCAGGCTAGTATAAGAAAGAGCTCCCATCAAAGCCATGAAGGGCTGGGTTTAGGGTCTTGGTTTCTGATACATACTACCTCTATAGTGTGACTGGGCAAACTCCTTAACCTCTCAGTGTTCCTTGCAACTTTGTAAGACTGAAGTTGCAAATCACTTTTTTTTTTAAGGCAGTTGGGATTAAGTGACTTGCTCAGGGTCACACAGCTAGAAAGTGTCAAGTGTTTGGGCTGCGGCCGGATTTGAACTCAGTTCCTCTTGACTTCAGGGCCAGTGCTCTATCCACTGCACCACCTAGCTGCCCCTGTAAATCACTTTTGCTAAGTGTTTCCTCACTGAGAGCTCTCTATACAATGAAATCAGTCCAGTCCCTATCTCTGAATTTCTGCACTATGGGCCTAAATGAGTTTTCTCTTTTACTGTTATATAACACTTTATAAAAACTATTGGATCCTCAAAACACTGAGTTGGCACTGAGGTAGGTGCCATTATCTTACAGATGAGAAGTAGGTATATGAAACAGTACCTGAACTCAAATTTTCCTGGCTCCAAGGCCCAAACTATCCTCTTTCCTTTACTTGCTGCCACATTCCCTTTCTAGCATGAGGCTTGAGAAAATTATGATGCTGGCCATAATGAACATTACTTTATTATCTCTTAGAACATACTGTACCATCTGAAAACAAGAGGTTTTTAAGGCAGTTGGTATAAGTTTCACATTTAAAGTGAAATGAAAATGATTGTTACAGATTTTGCTATATATTCTTTATAGCTCCTTTTCCTCTGAAGTAGGAAAACAATTCATAAATCTAGTATTAGAGGCTGTAGAGAGCCTCTCTTGACTAGGTACCATGAGTCCTTTGGTCAGTTAATGAATTTAAGTGGAAGCTCAAATCATCACATTTTCCTAAGAACAACTACTTTGTTACAAGGAGACTTTTGAACTTGCTAGTTAGTACTGTTAATGAGGCATTCAGGTAAATCCCTACATATACACAGGAAAGTTGATAGTAGGCTATGAGGATAAAACCCCAAAATCTGCCTTCCTGTATATGTTGAGGGAGAGGAGGATTTTATTGCAACCTAGCTACTATTTGTCAAAGGCCATTTTTGACTTGGTGCCCTTGAAGCTCTACATAAGGTTTGAAATCCATTTTTTTAGTGGCATCCTGGGCCCTGCACATTTGCAATTTTTACCTTCCACCAAAGTCAGTGGTATTTTTTGTCACAAGATTGATTAGCTCTAGAACTTAAAAGTACCCACTGTACACATCTGTCCAAAACTAAGCTCCATATTATGGCACCCGACCTCAGTATTTTCTGCTGGATGTTTGGTTTCAACTTTAGATGTGTAGTCTTTGTTTCTGAGCAGCTTGCACAGAATTAATTTTATTTATTTTTAAAGTTCAGTTTTTTAAAATAGGTTACTTCAAATGTAAATACAATGCAATTATGATTGCTTCTTGAACAGCTTTAAAGAAATTGTGCTTTTAGCTTCCTAGGTGTTTAGTATGTCTCCCCTGTGCTACCAACTGTCCCGTGGTCTTGTTTGTCACGTCCACAGTTGCAAAGGCAAGAGTTTTTCCTTGCTTCAGAATGTGAGCAGCAATCAATATTTCTTCTCCTACCTTAGCAGGGGACATGTACCTTGAATGAAAACATAAGACATAATTAATGGAAAGAGACTGACTAAAGGAATAGATACTTTACAACTGCTATCCAATGTTCACAGTAAAACAGATTTAGAGCAGGAAGGACCTTGGAGGTCATCTAAGAAACTCATTTTACAGAAGAGAGAGAGTTCCAAGAGATTAAGTGACCGACCAAATCCACACTGGAAGCAGAACCAAGATTTGAACCTATTTTCTCCAACTACAAATCTGTCATGATTTCAACTGTTCGGTGCTGCCTCTGATAGTATTTCTATGAACACTGGAATACTAGAGCAAAATCTTGGCCTGTTCTTTATATTTGTCTGCCTTCAAGGTTTGATTTGACTTCTGATTCCACATAAGTGTATTTTAAGATAAGTCTGTCAGAAGAAAGCATTTTTATACCATCAATATAACTTTACTTCTGTTCTATCATCATAGGGTTATCTTCCTAACCCTAATGTGATAGTTCTTAAAATTCTTTGTTACCAGGAACTCCTTTAGACTCTTAAATATTATTGAGGACCTCAAAGAGATTTGTTTCTGTGGGTTACATAAATAATAGTATTATGGTGAAAATAGTTTTTACCTCTCAAACCTCCCTGAAGAGTCCTAGATGCCTCCATGGGCCCATTGCTCTATGGGAATGGCTTCCCTACTTCAAAAGCAACTATTTTTTGTTTCCTTGCCAACATGTCAACAAGAGCATTAAACTAAAGAGGATCTAAGATGATGTAAAGAGCGATTCCATTTCTTATGTAATGTACCAAGTACAGAGGCTATTTCTGTCCAATCCCCACCCCCCCCAGTGAGGCAGTCGGGTTAAGTGACTTGCCCAGGGTCACACAGCTAGTAAGTATCAAGTGTCTGAGGCTGGATTTGAACTCAGTTCCTCTTGACTCCAGAGCCATGCTCTATCCACTGTGCCACCTAGCTGCCCCTGATCAGAGGCTATTTTTAAAACACTGACTGAAAATATTAATTTGCATGGATGATTAGAACTAAACTTGATCACTTTGCTCCAGTTTTTTTTCTGTTTCTCAATTTGAGACATCTATAAACCTCTGGGTTCTGATGGGGCTTACTCATTTCCCTTTCAGTCAGTTTGGAAAATTAGAGGTCCAGTATTCAACCTAGAGCTTCCTCTTGTTGCTCTGACAACCTACATTTGTGACCTAGTAAAAGATTCGTGCCTGGCATATGGCAGACCTTAAAACACTTAAAACCAAGGTTTATTTGACTGGGCATTTTACCAGAGTCAAAAACTTAATAGTATGTGCAGGCAATTTTAATTTTGTAGAACCTACTTAACAAAGAATAAATTTAGACTTTTAAAATAGAATACGTACTCCCATATTCCATGAAAGTCTCATTTACCAGTGTTTTATGCCAAGATTTACAGCCTTGCCACAGTGGCCCATCTGAATTTACTGTTCATTTAACTGACTTTCAAGTACAAGCAATGCTGAACAATTTACTCAGACTACCCTAGTTTTCCTTTCAGGTGAATCAGCTTGACAGCTACCACCAGGGGTTGCCCAGCTGATAACTTTTCAAAGAAGGAAGCTATGCTGAAAAATTTTCAAAGTGATTTCAGAATTGTGTAATTTTTTTGTCATAGGAGTAAGGGACACACTGCTAAGTTAAGAACCTTGAGGTCTAAGGAAGACGTGTTAGCAAGTAATCCCATTTGTTGTTGTTGTTGTTGTTGCTCAGATGGAATAAAATAAGGCTATTAGGAAGAACCAAGAAAAAAATTTTTTTAAAGGCAATTGGGGTTAAGTGACTTGCCAGGGTCACACAGCTAGTAAGGTCAAGTGTTTGGTCTGGTGCTCTATCCACTGTGCCACCTAGCTGCCCCCCAAGAAAAACCTTTTCTTCTCAACTTTCTGAAACTTAAAGAAAAAAAAAGGCATTAACTTGAACCCTGACTTACTGCATTTGTAACATCAGCTAACAACTTAAAGAATAAAGGGGGCTTTTTCTGATGTTCAGATCATCAGCATTTTTCGAATGCTTATATAGTTCATTTTTGCAATAATATACTCCTTTATGGAATAGGAAGATTTGGTTCTAGCTTATATGTTTACCATCTGGCAAATATACTGTATCCTCTCCTCAACACAATTGGCAGAATATGACATCTGGACCTCCTCTGCAACTCTTCTTTTCCTTTAGGATTCTATTTTGCGGTAATGCCCCATATTTACTTTGATAGTGGCACAAGTTATCCTTGAAAGAAAATAAGGTACCTAACATACACAGTGGTAAAATTTATAGCTTAAATATATACCAGTTAGGAATCTGTGGACAGCCTTGTGATTTTCTCCATTAGCAATGTATAAATTAGGGGGTAAGATGGCTGTTTTCAAGGTCAGGGTAGTTCTTAGCACTAAAGCCATATTTGCATCTAGAAATTTATAAAGCTCGTTTTTCAAACTTATTTTTATCTTAGTAGTTCTTTTATCTCAACTGATGTCATTTAAAATATATTAAGTACATACGTTACGTTGATGTCCACGCTGACTCCAGGTTTTCCCCTTTCTGTGTTCATCAAAGCAACTGTAGATATGACATCTATCAGAGTTGCTGTTAAACCACCATGTAGAGTGCCCGCCCTATTGATATGTTCTTCTTCAACTTTCATTTCACAAACCAGCTTTCCAGGGCTTGTAGAAAGAATCTTAACCTAAATAAATGAGAGGAAAGATGAATACAACTATTCACTAAATCAGCACATAATTTTATCAGATCAAATAGCAAGCAATACAAATGATTAGGATGTATTTCTGGGTGAACCTAAAGTTGATTGAGACATCAAATTTCCCAAATACTGCATAAATTTTTAATTATTGATTTTTTTAAAAAAATTCATTTTAAGGAATAAAAAAATTAAAGATAAATAACAAAGCAAAACAACAGAAAAATGTTGTTACACAACTGTGTTAAATACAAAAGTATTTCTTGTACTGTATTAAAGCAGTAAACGTTATTGTTGATAAGATACACGTTCATTGTACAGACAAATGAAGTCTTAATTAGTGTCCTCACACTAAGACCTATATAATACTTAGCCATTGTTGAAGAGTTTTGCAAATGTACCCATTCTCAGCATTTTCAATGTGATGACAGTCATTATTTACATATTGATAACTCGTGAGCATTTCCTTCTACTTCTAGGCTGCCAATGACTCAGGTTGTCAATCAACAAATCCTCAGTTAAACACGTAGTGTCCAAACACTGTGCCTATATGTGTTGTCACAGTATTCCCTACCCTGAGAAGTTTACATCTGGGCTGTATGAAAAGACTCAAAAGAATCAGAAAACAATCTTTCTTTAAAATTATAAGAAAATGAAATGATGTCTAAAACTTTCAGTTGCAAATGGAGAAGGGAAGAGAGGGTAGATATATTTCTGAATATCTTAAGAAATGGGAACAGAGACAAAGCTAATGAGTTGAAATTATAATTGTTCAAAATATGAACAAAATGTAAAAGGGGAGTAAAAAGGAACTGAAAGGTTTTGGGGTTTTTTTAAACAATTATCCCAAATAAAAAGAGAATATACCTGGATTCCACTGGCTGCAAGAAGACAGTTTATATGTAAGTAAATGCACATAATCATAGTAAAAGGCAGTCTTTCCCAACCATGAAATATACATTAAAGTATTATAACCTATTAAACAATCGATACAATACTCTGGTCTTGGGGGTGAGGAAAGAGCCCCTTCTGGCATATCTTTGAAAGCAGAAAGGGAACTCTCCTCATAGTTCCAGGGCAGAAAAGGATGCTTGTGGTTGCTCACAGACCAGAGCACAGGGCAGGAGACGAGTAAACAGCTCTCCTTAGATCATACCACTTTGGAAGATCTGAAAACTTACAGGTCCCTAGAAGTATCTCTGAAAACTGCTGCACAAAACTCCTGAAGCTTGGGATAGTACACCCTCCATGCTGAAAGCAGAGCCCTACTTTAAAAAGACTAAAAAGTCAACTAAGAAGCTGGGGAAATGAGCAAACAATGGGGGAAAAGAAACACAAGAAACAAAAAATAAACACAACAAACTCTAGACTATAGAAATTTACTTTGGTGACAAGGAAGTTCAAAATACACTATGAAGACAACAAACTCAAAGCTCCTACATCCAAAGCCTCCAAGAAAAATATGAATTGCTCTCAGGCCATGGAAGAGCTCAAAAAAGGATTTTGAAAATGAAGTAAGGGAAGTAGAGGAAGAATTTGGAAGAGAAATGAGAGTGATACAACAAAATCATGAAAAAGAAGTCAACAGGTTGCTAAATGAGACCCAAAAAAATAGCAATGAAAATAACATCTTAAAATAGACTAGACCAACTGGCAAAAGAGGTCCAAAAAGCACAGGAGGAGAAGAATGCCTTCAAAAGCAGAATTGGCCAAATGGAAAAGATGTCCAAAAAGTCACTGAAGAAAACAATTCCTTAAAAATTGGAATGGAGCAAATGGAAGCTAATGACTTTATGAGAACTCAAGAAATCATAAAACAAAACCAAAAGAATGAGAAAATAGAAGACTGTGAAATATCTCACTGGAAAAACTGACCTGGAAAATAGATCCAGGAGAGATAATTTTAAAATTACTGGATTACCTGAAAGCCATGATCAAAAAAAAGTCTAGACATCATCTTTCTTTTCTTTTTTGAGGCAACTGGGGTTAAGTGACTTGCCCAGGGTCACATAGCTAGTGTCAAGTGTCTGGTCTGAGGCTGGATTTGAACTCGGGTCCTCCTGCCTCCAGGGCTGGTACTCTATCCACTGTGCCACCTAGCTGCCCCCTAGACATAATCTTTCAAGAACTTATCTAGAACAAGGGTGTAAAATAGAAATTAAAAGAATCTACCTGAAAAAAAGAAGAAAGAACATCCTGAAAGAGATTCCAAAATGAAAACTGCCAGGAATATTATAGTCAAATTCCATAGTTCCCAGGTCAAGGAGAAAATATTGCAAGCAGCCAGAAAGAATTCAAGTGTGGGGGGCAGCTAGGTGGCACATTGTATAGAGCAGTGGCCCAGGATTCAGGAGGACCTGAGTTAAAATCCAGCCTCAGACACGTAACACTTAGTAGCTGTGTGACCTTGGGCAAGTCACTTAACCCCCATTGCCCAATCACCAAAATAAACAAATAAATGAAATATATTATTAAAAAAAAAGAATTCAAGTATGGTGGAGCCACAATTAGGCTAACACAAGATTTAGCAGGTTCCAAATTAAAACACTGGAGGGCTTGGAATATAATATTTCAAAGGGCAAAGGAGCTAGGATTACAACCAAGAATCACCTACCCAGCAAAACAGTATAAACCATGAGGGGAAAAAAATGAGATCGAGGAATTGAAAAAAAATAAAAAGGAAAGCATCTCTCCAAATTTCACTAAGAAGAAAATCAAAAGCTTTCATCACCTCTTTACTTTATCTATCACAAATACTCCTCTAAATAGCATTTTAAAACTTTGGGTCATTTTCCCAGATGGAAAGGAGAATGAAAAGCAGTAAAGGAGTAATTCAGCATCCTTTAAAACAGACACAGGGAAAGTTTAAGTAGCCAATATTTTATTTAAAGTTCTTTGTCTATCTGCCTCCATCTGAGCAAAAAATGGGATTGCTGGCTGCCAATTATTCCTTATATCTTAAAGTAATAAACCTTATGGGATCACTTGGAAAAACATATGAAATAAATTAACAATTTTAATTATAATGGATGTGAAACTGTAAGGCACTACTCAAATGTAAACTAGTAGTATTCTACTACAACTAATGGATTGGAAAAAAGCAGATAGTAAAGGACCAGCAAAGAGATCATGTAAATCAATATTTCCCTTGGTCAATTTTATTTGGTTTTCTCTGATTAGCAACAAAGATAATGCTGAGATTATGAATCTAGGAGGGAGACAGGATTGTGGTATCTTTGCTAGAAATAGGTAAGTTGGGGGGGGGAGAAAAAGGGTGGGTTTGGTGGGGAAAGATGAATTTGGTTTTGGATATGCTGAGTTTGAGGTGTCTTGGGATAATCCAGTTTGAAATGTACAAGAAGCAACTGGTGATGCAGTACTGAAGCTGAGGAGGGAGACTAGAGCTGGATATATAGATGTGTAAGTCACTGGCATAGATAATGATTAAATCCACAGGAGCTGGTGAAGACCTTTGCCAGTCATACTCAGGTCCTCTGACTCAAAGCTATCACTAGGTACCATGCTAAAACACCTTAAGGGCAGTACTGTGTGTTCTGTGTTTTTGTGTCCCTCAAAGCACTCGGGACAGTGTTTTGCACATAGCAGGCAATCAGTATTGAAATAATACCAAGTCAGAAATCCCATTAGAACAAATCCAAATTAAAGCTTTTATTTGCGAAACTCTTTCTTTTTGCAAATTCTGAGCTAAGCAGAAAAAAATCAATTTCTCCCTGACTCTGTCTAAAGAGGCAATTGTATTTTCACTTTTTGTCTTATATAATGAACACATTTATAATGTGCATATTGTAAATATATTTTATTTTTAGTCAGTATTTGTTCAGTTATCTTTCACTGCCTGAACAGGACAAAACTCTTCCTCCACCTCCACGGCATCTCCTGTTGCCTTGGAGTCTAGGATGCATGCCAGGATACCCAAAGCCAAGTATTTGTTTTACAATCTGTGGCTCAAAGTTTCCCCATTCTACACTACTGTGTACCCCTAAATTTCATAAATTCAAGGCCATCTTATAGTGCAAATTCTTGGAAAAAAGCCTATTTCAATTTGTGTCATTGAGTAACAGATCATATCATAGAGGTAGCCACTGGAAATTTGAGACATTAACTTTGTAGTCATTGTCTCTCTCAGAAATCATTAATGGGGGCAGCTAGGTAGTGTAGTGGATAGAGCATTGGCCCTGGGGTCAGGAGGACCTGAGTTCAAATCTGTCCTTGGACACATGATACTCACTAGCTGTGTGACTCTGGGCAAGTCACTCAACCCCACTGCCTAGCCCCCCCCCAAACATTAATGAAATCAAGTCTATTTTCTTCTTCTAACAGCCACTAAATCTTATAGAAATTCCTGTTTATAGAACTCCTATCATCTATTTCAAACACAGTCCTTCAGGGAGGGCTAATTATTTCTTTATAAAATTCAAACTGTTATGAATTTATATGGAATAATTTATTTAAATTGGACATGTTATTTAGAGGTGGCATGATGTTGTGCATAGAGAGATAACGTGGGAGTCTGGATAACCGGGGTTTAAGTAATTTAATTAACCTCTTAGTACTCCAGGTAACTCTATGATTATAATGTTCAGTACAATTGCTAATCAACATTGCTGGGGGGTGGGGGGAATGGGGGGAGAGTACTCACCTTCCAACCTACAAGGATGAAATCACAGGCCTGGCGTCCCCTCAAAGTGTTAAAAATCAGCAAATAAGAATTTATGAGGCACTTTTTTTTTCAGCCAGAGGAAAAGTTTATTAGTGATAAAACATATAGGCCAGGTGACACCCAAAAAGACGAGCGGGCATGAGAGGTTCTCAGCCTTTTGAGTGTGAGATTCTCAGCCCCGAATGAGGGCCAGGGTAGATCTTATATACTTCAGGTGACCAGGGAAGGGTCTGGGAAAATGGTCTGGGTGAGAATTCCCAGAGATTGGAATGTCTAAGAGATTGAACAGACAATGGGAATAGATAATGAAGGAACTGAAAGGTATCTGAATGAGATTAAAAGGTAGGCTAAGGCTTTCAAAGGGAGATGAGAGGCTGGGGCCTGTAGACAAAAGGGGAGCCAGATTCCCTTTGGGGCAAGGTATGAGGCACTTTTTACTATGTGCCAGGGACTATGTTCAGCCCTGGGGATACAAAGAAAGGCAAAAGTAGTCCCTGCCCTCAAGGGGCTGACACATCAGTGGGAGAAGACCTCTTATAAATTCAGTATATACAAAATAGATAGAAGGTAACCTTATTCTCTCAGTGGCTGAGAGGACAATGAAATACCTGTAGGAGGTGGGATTTGAATAAAGTACTGAATGAAGCCAGAGATTCTAAGAGGTGCAGGATGAGTTGGACGGTAGCCAGTTGATCGACATGAAGACCAAAGATATAGTGTTATGATCAAGGGATGGTAAGGGCAATATATACCCAGAATGATGAGTACCTAAAGGGGAAGGAAGTAATGTGTAAAACTGGAGAAATAATAAGGGGCTAGATCATGAAGCACTTTAAACAAATGACATATTTTATTCTGGAGGTAATACAAAACCACTAGAATTTAATAAGTAAGGGTGCAATATTAAAAATAGCTAAGTTGTTCCATTTTTGTTTTTTAACCATATTTAGTGAAGCTAAGTTTTGGCTGCTTCTAAGTCACCTGATTTTAAGTCACAAGTTTACTCTCCCTCCCCCCTATCATCTGACCACAAGAATATGCCTCTACTAATAAGAAACCTAGTGTCACAATTACTTAATCCTGTTTTTCATTCCCTTCAAATCATATATTAACTAGGTAGAAACCAATGATAAGAGTTCAAGGCTACTGACAGCCTTGGTCCCAGTTTGTTATACAACTAGTATGCATTGCTTAATAAATAATTTCTTTATTTCAATGTTAACAGTTTTTGCAAGTTCTAGCCAGGAGAAATGTGAACGTGCACCAAAGTAACAGGGGGTTGAAATGGTCAGACCTTCACTTTGGGAAAATTGCTTTGGAGACTAAGAGGAGGATGGGTTGGAGTGGGGAAGAAAAGGAGGCATATATGACATGTTACAAAGACTGGTGAAAAAAGCATTGTATAGAATTGAACTGGTTCATCAAAAGATCAAGATTTGAAAGGGAGAAGATTTTAGCCAGTATAGGAATGATGTCTTGCAGAAGCACTGAGAAGTAGAGGGATTAGAGGTCTCAGTGAGGAGAAAGAACAGGGTTAAAGGCTGTGAGGTGTAGAGAAAGGTGGAAACTTTGGTCAAAGAAGGTCAAACAGTTTGACCATTAAAAGAATTTCACTGTTCATGAGAATGGAACATTTGTGGGTGATGACAAAATTAAGGGTAGTCATTGAGGGAGCAGCTAGATGGCACAGTAGATAGAGCACTGGTCCTGAAGTCAGGAAGACCTGAGTTCAAATCCCACACAAGCTGTGAGGCCCTGGGCAAGTCATTTAACCCTAACTGCCTCCAAAAAAATATTCTGAAGTCCTCTAATATGAACAGGAGTTGGAGTAGAGAGAAAGATTGCAAGCCAGACACTGAACTCACTGAGAAAAGAGGAAGAATAACTTAGGACAGAGGTAAGGAACTCTTGCCTCAAGGTTGCAGGTTCCCCACTCTTGACTAGAAGGGGAGTGGTCTGCTATGGGTGATAAATTTGGTTATCGAATTCCAAAAGTAAGAGTGTAAGGGGTGGGTAGATCTGGAATGGGACATTATAGGGGAAATGGCAGGCTAGATTGAGGTAGTTAGAACCAAGTAGCTACAGTTGGAGTTAGCAGCAGCCAAGGTTTCAGAATCAAGGGGATGAGGAGAGAAGGGATTGGTCATATGCTAAGAGACTGCCGAATAAATAAGCTCTTTCCATTTTACAGAACTGCTTCCCAGTATCAAGGGCACATATAATTACCTCATTTTAAAAAATTCATAGTCACAAAGCCTCCTGCTTTAGAAGAGGTAGATCAGTGCCTCTTTTCTTCCCAAGCACTCAAATTTAAAATGAAGTCAAAATTCGTACATCATACTTAGCTTTGCAAAATGATTTACACATCTGCATTCATTTCAACCCCTGTGGGGTTGTCTGTACTATTGCCACTTTTTTACAAATGAGTGAACTGAAATTCAGATTTTTTTTAAAATCTTACCATCACCCACAAACGTTCCATTAATGAACAATGAAATTCTGTTAACTGGTCAAACAGAGTTTGAGCATCTTTGACCAAAGTTTCCACCTTCCCCTACACTTCACCTTTAACCGTGTTTTTTTCCACACCGAGGCAATTAATCCCTCGATACTTCCTTAGGCCATTATCCTTATACTGGCTAAAATTGGGTTTATAAAGTGATTCGCTCACGGTCACAGAACCGGAATTAGGAGGCAGGATTCAAATTCAAGTCTCACTTGACTCAAAGTCACTAATATCCTGCATGGTGACACTGTGCTTCCATTTGGAATGTGCCAAGGCTTCCCAGGCTTCCACCATCTATCTCCTTAGTCACGAGTGGAAGAGCGTACGGGCCCATCCTGCCACCTACGCAGATGCAATATTTTCCATGCTTTAGCAGATGATGTACTGTGGGCCCCCAAATTTCATCATCAGGTCACTGCTTAGAAGCCTCCCTGTACTCCGAGAGGGTCATCAGATAACAAAGACACTGCACTGACCTTAGCAGGTCTACAACTGAAGCCCTTCAGTACGGCAAGCACGGTCTCAGAGACACCAGGGTCACCTTTCCACCACACACAGCAATGTTAAAAACATTCATTAGGTGGAGGAGGCGACATGCCTAATGGTAAAGGAATTCATTGGAATTTGGGGGCTGGAGGGAGATGAGGGAGTAGAAAAGAAAGAAAGTAACAGGGCTACTGACAAGCTTTCGGGCCTGATAAGACCAAGCTGTATAGTAAAGGAAGACAAGGACCCCCGCAGATCCCAAAAAGGACGAAAGGCGCCGGAGCCTGGGGACCCTGCCGGCCCCACCGAGCCCACTCTCGCTCCCGCGCGCACGTGCTGGCGGTACCTTTTCTAAAACTCTATCAAAGCCTTGAGTATCCGTGAGGAGCTTGAACGCCTCCCGAAAGTTCTGCATAACCGGGGAAGTCATCGCCAGCCTCTGCCCAGGTTCTCAGCCCCGCACAAAAGGAAAACCGAACCGACAAAGCAAAATAAAAAAACTGCCCAGGTAACTGTAGCAACAGCACGCAGGTAGGTAGAGACACAACTCCTTCCACAGCGACCTCCAAGCTGACTCCAGAAGTCAGACGCCCAGGTAAAATAAAGGTCTTCCCGGTGCTTCCCGTTCCTTCCGGCAGTCTCCACAGACTGCAGCACTCAAGTTCCGTCATTGGGCGCTCTCCTCTGAGCCTCCCGGAAATCCGCTAGAACCCTAACCCTGGTTCCTTCCCCCGAGCCTAGACCTGGCCAGCCCTGTTCAGGGCGCTCCCTCTCTCCCCTCCTCCAATAGCACGAAGGAGGGGTTGGCAGAGGAGGGAAGACGGTGCGGTTTCCCAGCCGGTCTGTTGCTGCAACACAGCGGAGGAGGAAGTAGCGCCGCAGTCTGGACGCTGGCGGTCGGGGGATGCGCCGGCGGTTACTTGCAGTGTCTAGCGCCATGGATCTGGACGACGTGCCGGGGGAGCCCGAGCAGTCGCAGTCGCAGTCGCAGTCGCAGTCGCAGCAGGAGAAGTCGGAGGAGAGCACGGTGCAGGAGCGCCAGCGGCTGTGCGCCGAGTTCTCGGCGATCACGGGCCGCGGCAGCGGCGTGGCTCAGTGCTACCTGGCGGAGAACGACTGGCAGATGGAAGTAAGCCCCCGCTCCCCTACCCGGGACCCTGGCCGGGGGGCGGCTGCGCGCGGCCGCCTCCATCCCTGTGCCTTTGCTTTTCAGAGGGCGCTCAACTCCTACTTTGAGTCGGGTGTGGACGAGGGAGCGTCGGACGCCGGGCCGAGGTTCCCCCCGCCCGCCGCCGTCTGGTGAGTGAGCGGGGCGCGGGGTGGGGGGATGGGGCGGCGCCCAGAAAAGAGACCCGGGGTCACGGTGGTGCCCGTCTCTTCACCGAGTCTGCGCGCATTTACTATGGTCCCGTTCTGGCGCTGAGCGAGGCTGGAGATGCAAAGAAAGGAAGGGGAAAAGCAGCCCCTGCTGTGCAGAAAAGATTATGTGTACATGTGCATTGCATGTATATATACACACATACGTATATATACATGTATTTGTATGCATATGCATGCGGAGGCAGCTAGGTGGTACGGTGGATGGAGGGCTGTGCCTGGGGTCCGGAAGACCTGAATTAAAATTCGACCTCAGACATTAGCTGTGTGACCCAGGGCATGTCAGTTTAACCTCGGTTTACTTTCATCCACTAAAGCTAATCGCTTTAGTATTTTTGCCAAGAAAACCCATACGGGGTCACTAACTGCAGAACAGCAGTATACGTGTATGTGTATATGGGCATGTACACATGTTAGGTATGTGAGTATTGTGTATATGTATAGATATACAACAGTAATTGAAATTAATTTCAGAGGGAGGGCATCTGCAGATATCTATCTGGAAGGAGCTTTGGAAACCTTCTAATGCAAAGATTTTTGAGGTGTGGCACTCGAAGGGGTCGCATCAAATAAATTTCACGGATCCAGGAAACTTGAATGGGGGAAAATTAACATTCTTATTTCCTAAACTAACAGAAATTTAGCACTTCCTTCAGTTACGAAGGTAAGCAATAAAACGTTGTGAGAAGAGATTTATAGATTTACCTAGACTTCCAAAGGGGTTCCTGAGCCAAAAGTTTAGAAAAACCGTGGTCTACTCCATTCTCTTCGTTTTATAAATGAGGTGCTTGAACTCTAGAGAGGTTTTTTAAAAAAAACTCTGCCAACTTGGGGCCAGACAGATCTGTCTGTAATTGAAAGAAGTGGAATTTGAACCCAGATTCAAGTCTGCTTCTCCAGATCGAGTGCATGATAACTGGCTTTTGATATCCAATCTGTTGTCAAGTTTTGTTATTACTTTCTTCACAGAATCTCTTGTAGTGTATGACTCTTCCATTCACACAGCCACCCCTGGACTAGATGGCTTTTGTACATCCTATTTCATCCACATCCCTTCTCTCCTGGATAGTTGCAGTAGCCCTCAAATTGGTCTTCCTTCCACAGGTCTCTCCCCAAACCTCAGACCATATTCCACTCACCTGCCATGGTGATCTTCCTCATGCACAAATCTGACCGTGTCACCTCCTTACCCAATAAAGCTGTTACCTCCAGATCAAATAGAAAACCCTTTCCCTAGCTTTTAAAGCTTTTCACAAGCTGACCTCTTTCTGTCTGCCATTCACAAGTTGTCTTCTTCCTGTTGTTTTAGTCTTGGATTTTACTCCCCTCCTCATACTCTTAAGATTCAATGACCTCTGGCCTTCTTGCAGTTCCTCACAACATTTCATCTTCCCACAGTGTACCTTTTCACCAGCTGACCCTCATGCTTGGAATACTCTTCCTCCTTGCCTCTGCCTCCTGACTTTCTGGCTTCCTTCAAGACTTAGCTCATATCCCATTTTCTGAAAGGGGCTTTTTAAAGTTCACCCCTTCCCTCACCCCCAATAGTACCTTCTTTCTGAACTTAACTTTCATTTACACTGTGTGTATATATATATATATTTTTGGCAAGTTGTTTCCTCCTATAGAATGTGAGCTCTTTGAGGGCAAGGACCTGTTTTTGGGTTTTTTTCCCTTTCTTTGTATTCCCAGCCCTTAACCTCAGCATACCTATCTAGTACATTGTAAAAGCTTAATAAATGCTTGTTGATTGATTCTCTTCAAGGATAAGAGGCCAAGTATGGAAAGTTCTAAAGCCTGAGAAGGAATAACTCACTTTAAAAAGTGCTTTAAAGTTTGCACAGTGGTTTATATAAGTGATCTATCTCATTTGATCCTCACTACAGTTCTTTGAGGTAGGTGCTGTTATCACTTCTGTTTTACCAAGGAAGAAACTGAAACTCAGAGGAAGAAACTGAAACTCAGAGGAAGAAACTGAAACTCAGAGACCGTAATCTTTGCCCTGGTACACACAACTAATAAATGTCTGAGACTGAATTATAACTGAGGTTTTTGTGGTACCAAGTCTAGGGCTTTGGCTACTATGAAGCCAGGAAAAAAACCTTTGACTTGGTAACCACTAATTCTTTGGGGCATGAAGGAAACTGGAAAAATAAAGCTTTGAAAACAGAGTTCACAGACATCTTTGAATAAAAGTTATGCAGACATTTGCTAAGCATCTGTTAGATAGGGCATTGTCTTCTTCCTTGTGAGAGGCAATAGTGTGAAGTACAGATATTAACAAGTCTAGGTATGTACCCAAGGAGTTCAGTCTATTAGGAGATAAATGACACATACACAAATACCTGCAATATAAAATAGAACAGGACAAGTACATAAGAATGGTACAAAGTGGTATGTGAGTCTGAGGAAGTAAAGATTATTTGCTTCCTCTGGAGATGAAAGCAGTTCTTGGAAACAATGGCATTTGAAGGATTTGAGGAGCACCTGGTCAGATCAAAACTTGCTCAATATTTATTTACATTACTTTTTTTAATCAGCAGGTTCCTTGAATGCTCATTGCTCTTTAACCTTTTAAGTCAAACATGAAAGCAAAGCTAGGGAATTGCTCTTACTTGAATCTTTGAAAGCCATGAACAACAGCAGTTATATTGTTAGTATGTGAAAATGACGAAAATCTGGTGCAGCCAAGTTAGTTATTCCTTACTACTTTTTCTAACACAAACATTCCTTTGATAATACATCTTGAGCTACCTGTCTCATTTTCTTCGGTAGATTTGATGAAGAAAAATTAAAACAGCTGATAACCTCGCTGGACAAGAAAGCAAACTTTGGGCTAGAATGAAAATCTCAGAGTTTAATGAGTTTAAACATGCCACTGAAGGATGTTCAGATAGCAGTCTACCTAGCATAAATGGTCAAATATGTAGAGAAGGGATTCTTAACCTGTGGTTCATGGAGCCTTAAGGAGTCTTATGTATGTGGGTTGGGGAAAAAAATCAAATCAATTTTTAATTCTAATTGAAATTGAGCATTTCTTCAATTTTGAATTTTTAAAATAAATAAAGAAAAGAGCTACAGGTTTCACCAGACTATCAGAGGTCAAGAACCACAGATTTAAAGAATACAGTTTAAATGACTTAATTTTTCTTTAGTCATCTGAGTATATTGTATGTCTTCAGACAGATGCATTAAGTCTTCTGTACTGTGTTCCTCTGCAAAATGAAGGCAATAAAAACTTTCAAAATAATTCTTAAATTATATATCATTTATAAAATTATTTTTCTTTCTATTCTTACTAGTGTTGACCTGACAAATGAACCAACAATTAATGTCACCAATACTGGTGTCGATATAGAGAATTATGGCCAGAAAGAAGATGACAGTACATTTTCTTTAATTACATGGAATATTGATGGATTGGATATACACAATTTGCAAGATAGGGCTAAAAGTGTGTGTGAATATTTGGCTTTGTAAGTATTATTATTTATTATAGCAGTCCTATACATTTGCTTAACAACTTAATATTTCAAAGTGTTTTCATATCTATTTTCTCATAACAGGTAGTTAGGGCATGTATAATTATCTCCATTTTACAGATAAAAATTGAAACCTCTTAGAGAAGTTAAGTACATGAATGTATAAGGTCACAGAGTTAAGTTAGTAGAAGCCAGAACTGAAACTGGATTCCCAGAAGAATAGTCTTTCCATTAAAATACTTCACTTTCTGTATATATAGACTACACACAAATAATTAAATTCTGTATTTTTAAGTACAAAGTGTAATTCTAGAAAAAACATAATGCTCATGAGAACGTCTTTGCAAAGAAGTAAATGTCAAATGTTCTCATAAGTCAATATCAAAATATCATAGCTTGGAATACAAAATTTCCCATAGAAAGAACGCTATAATCATTTAAAGAGTATTACATTTGGGCATATTTTTGAAGTTAACATTCTAGCTAGAATTAATATGGCAGTGCCTCTTATGTTGCTTATTTGTTTATTGAATATATTATTAGGGAGTTTTTAATGCTAACTTAATTTCAGCAAAAGTAATTGCAGGATCAGTTTTGAGAATACTAGACATGTAAAAAGGTGAAAGATTTGGAAGAGAACTATAGTTTTAAAGTTGCATTTTATTTATGTTAGGTGGAAGGAAAGGCCAAATTATTCTCTGCTGGTAATTTTGATTTCAAACTTTCATGTGTGGTGTTGCTATAACTTTTTCCAATATTACAAAAATTAATAACTGGTGCTGTAATTTCTGTCCATGAGTACCCTTCCCTTCAATAGCCAATAAAGATCATAGTAAATTGTTAACAAAATTGTGTTCACTTTTGGAATTCTGTTAAAGTGACAGCTTGTGTTTTTCTCAGTTATAAGTGATAAGTTCTGGTCTCATTTCCTTGAGTTATGTTCTAGTGAAATGTTATATTTGTTATTAGTCTTATAACAAACTCATTTTTAAAAATTAGGTACACTCCAGATGTGGTATTTCTTCAAGAAGTGATTCCACCATACTACAACTATCTAAAGAAAAGAGCAACCAGTTACACAATTATTTCAGGTAACACCTTTCTGATAATTTAGCTTATCTGTTAAGAGAATGATTTTCAAAATATCCATCTCTTTAAAAACACCTTTCTCCCTCTTATTTGGAAAATTGTCTCTTTCCTTAGTTGAAATTTTTTTTTAAATATATGAGGCAATTAGGGTTAAGTGACTTGCCTAGAGTCACATAGCTAGTGAGTGTTATATGTCTGAGGCCAGATTTGAGCTCAGGGACTCCAAGGCCGGTGCTATATCCACTGCGCCTCCTAGCTGCCCTAAACTTTTTTTTTTGGCTAGGCAGTGGGGTTAAGTGACTTGCCCAGGGTCACACAGCTAGTAAGTGTCAGACCTGGTTTGAACTCAGGTCCTCCTGACTTCAGGACCAGTGCTGTATCCACTGAGCCATCTAACTGCCCCTGTTGAAATATTTTAATCATTGATGTTAGCTGTGCAGTGTCTGGGAAGAAAGTGAGTGTTATCTGGTTCTTAGAATGAGATCAGCAATGGCAAATTCTTTCTTAGGTAAATGACTTTAGTTTCTGGGGTGTCATTTTCAACTACTAACTTTAGAGATAACTTCATCTTTGAATTAAATTTATCTTTGAAAATAGATAATAGTTGCACTAACAGGCAGTGCTTTTCTTGAAAGAATCATGTGAGCATTTATAACTATTCTTTGTACAATGTGTGATAAAGGACATAAGATGAAGATAGGTTGGATTCAAAGTGCACTTGAAATCTGTTCTAGCCCTTAATTCTATCCTGCAGTAATGCTTAGATCGGAGGTTTCAGACACCAGCACTCCCAAAGTACAGCTGAACCAGATTAAAATGTAATTGGGAAACATTTAACAAAATAAATTAAAATACAGTACAACATAGATAACTTTTTTTAATTTAAGATTTTTATTTTGAGATACAAATTTTCTCCCTCCTACCCACCCAACCATTAAAAAGACAAGAAATATGATACCCATTATGTATAATAACATTATATTTTAAAACTAAATGAGTATGTGGCCCTGTATGGATTAGTGGACCCCATTTCTATTTGAATTTGACACCACTGCTTTAAATGATCTATTCATGGAATGTAACTTACTGTTTTGAAAAACATTTTAAGGTAATGAAGATGGCTATTTCACCGTAGTAATGTTGAAGAAATCAAGAGTGAAGTTAATAAGCTATGAAATTACACCTTTTCCTGCTACTCAGATGATGAGAAACCTTTTGTGTGTGCATGTAAGTGAACTTGTGAATTACCCTAATTTTTGTAATTCCATAGACCTGTGTTTTAATAAAAGTTTGCCTTTCTCTTTAAAATAGATTCCTTTCAGTGTTCATGAACTTTTTGAATGAATTTAGATGAATGCTATGTGAAAATAAACTTGCTTGAAGGCATATCTCTCCTGAGATGGATAGATTTAATTTAAATCCATGCTTGCTTCCTGAAATAATTGTTACTAATTCCCTAAGTACCTTGATATTAAATGGTAAAATACCCTCATTTAACCAGATAGTAATTGGAGAAGAAAATATCTGAGTGAGAGGGCAGTAGACGGGGATAGATATTGGCAAGCATAGTTTTTATGGCTTTACTGAAGGCACTGGATGAAGTCAATTCAAATGGCACTTTCTTTAGGAAGTAAAGACCTTTCCTACTTGGACTCCATGTAGCACCCCTCTCATTGCACACAGTGCCCTGAACCTCATGGATGCAGTAGGATCAATGTTTGTTAAATCTGATCAATGTAAGATATATTAATTGCTTACAAGTACTTACCAGTAAGTGCTTAGGGAGATACACAAAATTTAGAAAAACCTTGGTTCTTATCCTCGTGGAGCTTACAGCCCTTTAGGAGCATGTGACCAAATATAAATGACTGTAATATGTAGCAGTACATGCAAATACATAAGAAAGATGTGCTATGTGAGTTCCAGGAGGGAAGTGCCTTTTGAGTTGGCTGCAGTCACTGACTCCCCACCCCAGATCTTTTTTCCTGCAAGTACTGGCCCTTCTTACCAATGCAAATCCTTCTACATGGACTCTGAATCCCATCCCCTCCCATTTTCTTTAGCACATTATCTCTGTTCTCATCCCTACTTTCTCGCTAATTTTCTGTCTCTCCCCATTTACTGGCTCCATCCTTGCTGCCTACAATATACCCATGTTTCTGCAGTTCTTAAAGTATCCTCACTTGATCCACCTGTCCCTCTTATCTATTGTCTTATATCTCTCCTCCTCTTCTAGGCTAAACTGTTTGAGAAATCTGTCTGTAGTAGTTGTTTCCACTGTCTTTCCACTGACTCTCTTCTAAACAGTTTGTACTATGACTTCTGACCTCATCATTCAACTGAAACTGCTCTTTCTAAAGTTATCAGTGATCTTCGTTGCCAAATCTAATGACTTTCCTCTGTCTTTTTAGTCATTCTTTGTCCTTCTTGATGGGACATCTAGGTGGCTGAGTGAATAAAGGGCTGGGCATGAAGTCAGGAAGACCTGCATTCAAATCTGAACCTCAGACACTAGCTGTGTGACCCTGAGCAGGTCACTTAACCCTGTTTGCCTCAGTTTCCTCATCTGCAAAATGAGCTGGAAAAGGAAATGACAACCACTCCAGTATCTTTGCCAAGAAAACCACACTGAAGTGCTACTTAACAATTATTCTTCTTAACCTATCTGTTATCTTTGATACTGTTAGTCAGAGGCAGCTAGGTAGCGTAGTGGATAGAGCACCGGCCCTGAAGTCAGGAGGACCTTAGACCAAACACTTGACACTTACTAGCTGTGTGACCCTGGGCAAGTCACTTAACCCCAATTGCCTAAAAACAAAAACAAAAAGATACTGTCAGTCACCCTTTTCTCCTGGATGTTACTATTGTTGTTCAGTTGTTTCAATCTTGTCTGATTCCTTGTGACCCCATTTGGAGTTTTCTTGGCAAAGATACTGGAGTGGTTTGCCATTTCCTTCTCCAGCTCATTTTACAGATGAGGAAACTGAGGAAAATAGGGTTAAGTGACTTGCTCTGGGTCACCCAGCTAGTCAGTATCTGAGGTCACATTTGAACGCAGGTCTTCCAGGCTCCAGGCCTGGCACTCTATCTGCTGTGCCACCTGACTGTCCTCTCTTTAAGTCTATATGATATTGCTCTTTCCTGGTTCTCTTTCTTAATCTCTTTTTTTGCTGGTTCTCCATCTGTAATGTGGCCACTAATTGTGGGTATCTCCCAAGGCTCTGTCCTAAACCTTTTTCTCTTTTCCCTCTATACTGTCTCACTTGGTGATTTCATTAGCTCTCAATGGTTCATCTCTATGCACATGATTCTCAGATCTCTATATCCAGTCTGAACTTCTCTGCTGAGCTGCAGTCCTACGTTATGAACTGCCTTTTAGACATCTCAAATTGGAAAACCTTTGGGTATCTCAAACCTAGCATGTCCAAAACAGAATGCACCATCTTTCTTTAAAAAAAAAATATTTCTTTCAGTTATTAAAAATTGGTTTTCTCTTCCTCCCACTCCTTGCACTGGGGGAAAAAAAGAAAAAAAAACTTCTTGTATAAATATATATAATCAAGCAAAACACATTTCACATCTCATATTACCAACCTTTCCCCTAGGCCATTCCCAGGTGTTCTGTTACTGAAGGCACCACCATTCTCCCAGATATCCTGGCTAACAACTTCGGTATTATCCTTGACTCTTATACTCATCCCACATATCCAATCTTGTCAAATCTTGGCCTTTCTACCTTCACAGCATCTCCATCATATGTCCCTTTCTCCTCATACAGACACCACCCTTATATAGGCCCTCATCACCACATATACTATTGCAGTAGTCTTCTAAATGGTCTCCCTGCCTCAAGTGCCTTCCCATCCAATCCATCTTCTCAGCTGCCAAAATGATTTTCCAGTGAACATCTGACCATGTCACCCCTTTACTCAGTAAATTTCAGTGGCGCCCTCTTACCTCCAGGATTAAGGTAAAATACTCTGACATTTAAAGCCCTTCAAAATCTTGCTGCTTCCTCGTTTTCCAATCATAATACTTTTCTCCCTTCTACATGTTCTCTGTTCCAGCTCCGTTGGCATACTGGCTGATCCTTGAACATGACACTGTGCATGCATTTACACTTGTTAGTGGCCATGCCTTGAACACTCTTCTTTGATACCTCCTATTCCTAACTTCTCTGCTTTCTTCCAAGATTTAGATAAAATCCCAATTCTTCGACTTTTATAGTTCCCATTACCATTACCTTTTCTCTCCGCCCCCCTATCCTGCCTTTCTTTGTATCTCCTGTGTTTAACACAACACAAATAGTAAACAATTAACAAATGTGTATTGACTTGACTATATGAGTACAAAATGTGGTTGTTTTTGGGAAAGGGGCTGCAGGGGCAGTGTAATTCATTTTTCATGGAAAAAGATCCTAAATGTGAGAAAAGATCTGATGGTTTTAGTGGTATCTGATTATGACATGGTAACCCAAAATATCAGCATTACCTTGAGCTGCATTAAAAGAGCCGTAATGCCAGAGTAAGAGGGGTAATAGTTCTGTACTCTGTCTTGGTCAGATCATACCTGGAGCTCAGGTTTGGCTGCCACATTTTAGGAAGGATACCAGAGAGTTTGGAGGCATGTACAGAAGAAGGCATCTAGTGTGGTGAAAGACTTGGAGGTAATGCCACATGAAAAGGAGTTCATATTGTTGAGTGAGTTGTAAAGAGGAGATAAGTTGGGAATACGAGAGCTTTCTTCTTGGCCCCAGAGAACAGAACTAAGAGATTTAGGCTCGATAGAAGGGAACTTTGTAACAATTAGCTCTGTCTAAAAGTGGAATGGATTGCCTTGGGAGATTGTGGGTTCTTCCTCAATGGATTTCTCCATTTGGAGGCTAGCTGACTTCCTGTCATGGGTATTAATAGATAGCCAGTTCTTAGATTTTATAATTTTTCAGGTTTGGCTTTAAAAGATAAAGGGTTAGAATTCATTTAGCTACTTACCATTCCATTTCTTACCTCTCTTCTCCTTTTCATAGTCAGACTTCTTGAGAAAGTTATTCATTCTTCTAATTCTTGCTACTCTCTCTGCTCACTCCCTCTTATGATATGACTTCTGGGGCAGCTAGGTGGTGCAGTTAATGGAGCACTGGCCCTGGAATCAGGAGGACCTGAGGTCAAATCCGGCCTCAGACAGGTGATACTCACTAGCTGTCTGACTCTGGGCAAGTCACTTAACCCTGATTGCCTCGAAAAAAGCAAAGAACAAACAAACAAAAAGACAAGAACATATCATATAACTTTTAACCCCACCCCTAACCCCATTCTATTATAATCACTGTCCTTTTTTAATACCTTATTATTTTCGTGTCTCTTTACCTGTGCTGATGCTGTTCCTTATTTGTTGATAGTAATACTGATTTGATGATTTAGTGAACTTTTGAGTAATCCTCAGACCTTCTCTGATTAAAGTTTAGCATTGGATATTAAAATAGATAGACTACAACGTAACTCAGCGGTGTTATTCTATTGCAGGTGACTATATGTGGTAATGAGCTTTGCCTTTTGAACTCACACTTCGAGAGCACCAGAAACCATGCTCGGGAACGGATGAATCAGCTAAAAATGGTGTTAAAGAAAATGCAAGAAGTCCCAGAGTCAGTTACAGTTATATTTGGAGGAGATACAAATTTAAGGGACCATGAAGTAAGTTACAGAGTATCATTTCAGTGTTTCACGTAGTAAACTGGTTGGTTTGTTTTTCTTTTCGCTCTTATGTGGCCACAGGATTTCAGAGTAAGGAACCTTGGTGGTTTCCTAGTTCAGCCTGTAACTAAAAAATAATCCCCTCTACAGCTTACTTTACAAGTGGTCATCCAGACTTGACTTGAAGAGCTCCAGTGAAGGACTTCTTCCCAAGAAAGCCCATTCTACTTTGAAGTAGCTCCAGTTGTTAGGAAACTTTTCTTATGTGAATCAATCAGCAGGTATTTATTAAGCCTCTTCTATGGGCCAGGGATTGTGCTAAGACTGGGGATACTCATACAAAACAGAGACAAGTCAGTCCTTGCCCTGAAAAAGCTTACCTTTTACTTGAGAGGACCCTTGTTGCTTCTTTGCAACAAAAATGGATAATTTAATTGGATAAATTAATTCTATTAAGCCCAGGTCTTTAATTGATCTGTTATATGCACAAGCCATAATGTATATCATCCTAATTCTGCAATTATTTACTGAGTTGTTTGCTGTGTATGTGCCAAGTACCCTTTTAGGTAGAATGGGGTATGTAAGTGTAAGACATGATCATTGACTGCGAAGACCTTATAATCTTACTAGAGAAACAAAACATGAGTTAGGGAATGATCTGAGAGTTTGTGATTAAGTGCTAAGAGAAGTCATACAGACAATACCTGCTGCAGGAGTTCAGAGCAAGGAACAGTCAGTGTGTACTTGAATAGTCCAGGAAATCTTGGAGTGGTAGTATATGCTAGTAGACAATGTTATTTGTGGTGTCAGAAAGACTTGGCTGCCAATCCTTTCTCAGACGTGAGGTGTTTGACCACTTAACTCCTGGGACACTAGACTCAGTGACCACTAAGGTCCCTTCTAGCTCTGAATCCGTGGTCCTGTGATTTGAGGTGGTGATACTTGATCTGGGCCTTAAAAGGATGGAAGAGCTGGTGAGTAGAGAATAAGGAGGTGAGAAAGGCCATTCCATGCAAGAGAGGAAGGAAGGAGACAGACATTTATTAAGTGCCTACTGTGTGCCAGGCATTATGCCCAGTGTGTTACAAAAGTTAACTCATTTGATCCTCACACCTTGGGAGATAGATGTTATTACTATTATCCTCACTTTATAGTTGAGGAAACTGAGGCAGACAGGTTCTTGTGACTTGCTTACTTGCTCCGGGATCATTCAGTAAGTACCTGAGGATTTGCACTCATATCTTGACTTCAGGCCCAGTGCTCTATCCATTCTGCTACCTTAGCTTCCAGGATGCTGTGTAAGCCAAGAGCTACAGGTAGTGGATATGTTTGGGAAGGAATGAAAAATCTGCCCTGGTGGAAGCCAGATTGCTGTGGTGGAAGTGAGAGAAAGCTGGAATAGTACAGTTAGGCTGGTCATGGCCTCAAAGTCTGAGGACTCAGACCCTTGAGTTTACTATATGTAATGAAGGTTTTATGCTCCATTGGAAGTATGTAAGGGGTTCTAGCTAATAGGGCTTAAAACTAAAACTGCTGCTATTTCTCTCAGGCTTTCCCAGTATTATGGCTAGTCCATTAAGAGTTGCCTGAGAAGCATCCAAGTAGGCACTATGTAAGTGAGAAATATAAACTCCCTAGAGTATAGGCTGTGTCTTTTGTTTCTGTTTTTTTGGGCCTTTTGTATATTCTGTGCCATGCTTGGCATAGGATGGAGACCCCATAAATTTTATAGTGTTACACTTGGCTTTCCTTTTTACTTACTGCTTCGTAGTTTATATCACAGTGAAATTGAACTCAAATGGAGGTATTGATTCACTTCTGCTTTGCTACAAAAGAGTGTTCTAGGTAAATTAAACCTCTTATTCTGTGCTCAGATGCCTCTCCAAATAAAACCATTTTCTTCTCCGATCCCAGTGACCTTATACCTTAGCTTACATATCTACAACTATTTAAGATCAGAATTTTTCTAGGATCCTGGCAGTCCCTGAATATAATATAGCATGGTGTAGTGTGGTGGCATGTGTGCTGGACTTAGAGTTGGGCAAGACCTGGATTCAAGTTCAGACCCCAGCTAGACTAGTGGTGTGGCCTTGCACAGGTCACTTGACCTCTTTAAAGTTGTTTCCTTATCTATAAAATGGGAATATTAATCAGGGCCGTCCTGAGGAAAGTGAATTGTAAACAAAGTGCTCCATCGCTGTGTAAATGTAGGTTTTCATTAGAGCAGTCCTCTTTTTTTTTTTTTTGTTAGACAGTGGGGTTAAGTGACTAGCCCAGGTTACACAGCTAGTAAGTGTTATGTGTCTAAGGCCAGATTTGAACTCAGGTCTTTCTGAATCCAGGGCCAGTGCTCTATGCACTATGCCACCTAGCTACCCCTGAGCAGTCGTCTTTATTGATGCTCAGATGAATTGTGCTTCTCTCCCTAGTTTCCTTCAGAAGTTCAGCTCAAGTGCCACATCTTTTTTTTGTGTGTGTGAGGCAATCAGGGTTAAATGACTTGCCCAGGGTCATACAGCTAGGAAGTAGCAGGTATGTGACGATGGATTTGAACTCAGGTCTCTACTGTGCTCTAGCTACTGTGCTACCTAGCCACCCCTCAAGTGCCACGTCTTATGTGAAGTTTTTCCTGATACTCTCAGTTTCTAATGTTTGATTTCTCAGATTGCCTTGGATTTATTTTGGACTTAGAAGCATATGTGTTGTCTTCTGTGGCAGAATGGAAGGCAAGGATTGTTTGATTCTTGTCTTTGTGTCCCCAGTGTTTAGCATAGTACCTGGCATATGATAAGCATGTCATATATGCCTGTTAATTGCTTTTAAAAACCTCGAGAATGAAATGCGGTAAGTCTTAGAAAAACTGCAGGAATCTTGAGGGAGGAAAAATGGAACTGGAACATGCTTGGAACTTATACATGGTGTCACCTGTTGACCTGTTATTTAAGTCATGGTTGAAAATTTTCCTTTTTCATTCCAGGCCATAAAACAAAATTCTTAGGATTACAAAGGAAACCTATGATTTTGAAATGCAATTATCAATTTTTTTTTAAAAGCATGTTTGTGAACTCCAGGTCAAGAATCCTTGGCATACGCTCCTCTAATTGCTGCTATTAGGGGAGGCTGTGGCTGATGAATTGCTTGAGTTTGGGAGTTCTGAGCTGGAGTCTGTTAAGCTGATTGGGTGTCTGCACTAAGGCCAGCACCAGTATGATGGGCCCCAGGTCAGCAATGGGGTCAGAGCTTTCATGCTGATCAGCATTGGGGTCAGACCCTCTTCTGACTACTAGATTTTCAGCCTGAGTGAGATAGGGAGATCTAGTCTCTACAAATAAAAATAACAAAGAATCCTTGCCCTATAATAAGGGAAAGGGAGAAAAGTTTCACAAAACAGCAAGTTATTTACCCTTTTTTTCAACCTAACTCACAAGTAAATACTTGTGCTTTTTCCTATGACTGTGTAGCAGAGTTATTTTTATATTGAGTTGTCTGAATATTTTGTATGGGATTGTTAAACAAATGGTTTAACTGTTTTAATGTTAAATGTTGCATCTAAGCAAAGTAAGCGTATTTTTTAGCCTACAAAAAATCTGATGAAAGGTTTCTCCATCTTTTTTAGGTTTCTAAATCAGGTGGCTTACCAGAAAAAATTTTGGATGTCTGGGAGTTTTTGGGCAAACCTGAGCACTGCCGTTATACTTGGGATACACAAGCCAACTCTAATTTGGCGATAGAGGCCACCTGTAAACTACGGTTTGACAGAATATTTTTCAGACCTGCAGCACATGGTTGTCACATTGTTCCACGAAATTTGGACCTAATAGGGCTAGAAAAACTGGACTGTGGTAGATTTCCTAGTGATCATTGGGGTCTTCTATGTGGATTTGATGTAATACTGTGAATGTTTTTCAGATGTGTACATTTTTAAGTCTGTTGTACAGTTTTCTATCAGATTTCTTGCAAAAACTTGATGTTTTGGATCTCTTTGGAAGCATGTGTTGAATATCACCTAAGACGCTGGATCTTCGCTGTTCTGTTATTGTATCTCTTTGTAGATTGTTCCTACAGATTTTTCGAAAGTCCACTTTTTCCCTCTCTAAGAATAGTGCTTTTGGAGTTGGCCTTTTTATTTTTCTTCTGGTCTGTGTGGTTGGTGTGGATGAAATGAAGGCATGGGTTGCTTAGTCTGGTATTGCTGCTACTGTTGCTATGAACTTTCTTGGTGATCGGACTATGGTTTTCCTTGGCCTTCGACTTCATTTTGGCCAGGATAGCAGGAAGAAGGATAGCACGGGTAAATGACAGTGAGGAATGGGATACATATGTTTACATTCTGTCTGCCTAAATTAAAAAAGGAAATAATGAGTAATGGTGAAAAGGAAATGGAATTTACACATCACTGTATTTCCTCTGTAGTGACAGTGTGGGAGGAAAATGTAAATGTGGTAATAACAATAATAATACTTTAACATAAATAATCTTATCAGAAAACTTCAGATAATTCGATTAATCCTGCTTATTTAATAATCCATGAAACATGTAGGAATATATCTAGTTAAGTCCATGAAAAAGCTACCTTGTATTTTTAATTAAAGAGCATAAAAGAACCACTGTTGCTATCTACTTTTGAGTCACATAGAATCTAAGCTAATTTTCTCTCCCATTATTTGACCCTAGGACAAAGATGAAAAAAAGAAGATTAAATTCAGGTAGATGTTAAAATGAAACCATTTCTGAACAACGTGTTTTGGATAATCTGCTTTCATGGGTAAATGAGTCAGTGACCTTGCCCTTCACACTCCTTGCCCTTAAATTAGTTAAAGAAGTAGACCCAACCTTTGGCATGCATAGAGGTTTCTCCTTTAGGTTCTTTGACTTAAATGCTTGTTTACTTGGATCTGTTGAAATTTTGCTAGATTGTCCTGTTTACCCAACTACTCTGCCTAAATGTGAATGAGGAAACTACTTTTTTCTCGTTCAACAGTTTGCAGAGATTAAGTTGACTACATAGCATAGCACTAGAAATGTTACATCTTCTCATCTTCTCTGACTCAGAGTGGGGAATATATTAATAAGCAAATCATCTAATTTTACCTTGTTTCCCATCTTCCAAGCCAGAATAATACCTTACTGGGTATTGTGAGGCTGAGTCAACTTTTACATGCTTTAAGGATTTGAGAGGAAGTTCAGATATACAAAAGATCCCAATTATAATAACTACATTTCTTCACCATTTTAATTGTTTTCCTTCCTTCTCAACTTAGACTTTGTCTAAGGATAAAAGGATTTTATTTTTGGCTTCAAAACTGACTTACTGAGTGACTTCAAGGAAATCATTTCAACACCGCATGTCATTTTTTTTGTTTGTTTCCTCATAGTATACCAGTGTTGTCTGTGTCTGAAGGCTAGGACCAGGTTATGGACCAAAAGAGAAGAAATCTGAAAGAGAGCCAGAAGTCACACTAAGTATGTGCTCATTGTGCTCAATGTTATAAGTTGTTTGAATATGGGAGGAAGGGGACAGAGGGCAGAGCAGAGAAGGTGAAAGACAAGACTGGACTTGTAGAATTTTGAACTTTTGAAATAGTGCTCGTTTATTGATTGGTTGATAGGTATTGACTATCTCCACCACCTGTTTGACATTCTACCATTAGAAATTAATTACTTGAATGAACTTGATAGCTTTTGGCTTTCTGTACACCTTTATTAAAATGTAAACAATAATAATGAAAGCATAGTGTAGTAGATAGAAGGCCACCCCTCAGTCAGGACGACCTAGATTCATATTCAGTCTTTGATATATACTGGCCTTGTGAAACAGGACAGTCACCCTTTCATTGCCCCAGTGACTCTAAGACTAAGTTGTAGGACAGTTGCTGGTCTGCATCTAAGGAGATTTTGCCCACCAGGAGCTCCCTGGTGGAGATCCCAGGCCCAGACACAATAATAACAGTAACTCATCTGTGTAGCACCATGAGCTTTACAAAGCACTCTCCTATACAACAGCTCCTGGTCTGTATAATATTCCTCTCATTCTTATTTTTTACAGCAGAGGAAACTGAGACTTGAGAAGCTTCAGAGCTAGGGAGTCCTCTTGCCCCTTTAGGGGGAGCTTTAGCTAACACCTTCCATGGAACTAGTGGGCATCAAGTTGAGGACAAAGCCTTGTGGAGAGGGAATTCAGAAGAGGTGTTTGTAGATGAGTGAGAGGAGGAGAAAGACTGAGGGCTGTACTCTTTCACAGTTTGGACTTCAGCCATACTCTTTTGAGGAATTGATTCTTAGGTCTCTAATGATTCAGTTGAAAGCATTTTTTAAAATGTTTGCATTTGCTGGGAGGAAAGCTAATTAGTGACAGTAGAGGAAATGTAAATGGCTTCAGATAGGGTGTTTAGGAATGTAGTTTTGTTTGTAGTAGGCTGTCACTGGTGTTTAGAATCTGGCCTCTTTTCAGTGTCTGAAAAATGATACTTGCTATTCATAAACAGATGACTACTGTCTACAATCCTGATTTCAACTAGTTCAGACTCAGCAGAGGCAGCCCTGCTTCTCCTATGAAGCTTTCTCAGATCCCTTGTCTGTAACAATCTTATCTCTGATATCTCACGTGGCCATTTGTATGCTCTAATTTACTTGGGGAGTTATTATTAGGGATTATAGCTATGCATTTGAGTCATAGCAAGCTGGAAGGTACCTCAGAGACCATCTAGTTCAACTTCATTTTACAGATTAGGAAATTGAGGCCAGGGAGCTTGAGACTTCCCCATCCTACTGGCGGTGTTAAAGATGGATTTGAACCCAGATCCTCTGACTGCAAAACCAGTGTGCTTTTCACTCTAAGTGGTACAATGAATAGAGTGATGGGGCCTGGAGTCAGGAAGACCCAAATTTAAATCCAGCCTCAGACACTTACTAGCTGTGTGACCTTGGGAAAGTCCCCATTTGCCTCAGTTTCCTCATCTGTAAAATGAGCTAGAGAAGAACATGGAAAAGCATTCCAGTATCTTTGTCAAGAAAGCCCCAAATGGGGTCACAAAGAGTGGGGCATGAGTAAAACAACTGAACAACAACATACCCCAGTAGAATAAGAGAAAGGACTGTTTTTGCCTTTCTTTGTATTTCTAGCTTGTAGCACAGTGCCTGGCACATAGTACGTGCTTTAAAAATTCTTGTTGACTGACTGGTAATAATAATAACAATAATAATAGCTAACATTTACATAGTGCAAAATGCTTTATAAATATTATCTTGTTTCATCCTCAGAACAACCCTGGGAGGAAGGTGTTGTTATCCTCCTATTACTGATGAGGAACCTGAGGCAGATGGGTTAAATGCCCAGTCACATAGCTAGTAAGTGTCTGAGGCTGGATTTGAACTAAGGTCATCCTTATTCCAGGTCCAGCACTCTATCCATTGCTATCAAGAAGTCAGTTAGACTAATCTTCTCCCAGTAAATTCCGTGAGGTCAGAGATTATGTTTAAATAAACTTAGTTCTTCCTACAGCCATAGTGCTCTACATATGGTAAGTTCTTTTTTTTATTTTAACACTTTAATAATATTTTTTTCTCCCTAGTTATATGTAAAGACAATTTAAAATTTTGAGTTCCAAATTCTGTCCCTCCCTTACTCCTCTCTCCTCTCCCTGAGATGTTAAGCAATCTGGTATAGGTTATACATGTGCAGTCATATAAAATATTTCATATGGTAAGTTCTTAATAAATGTTGCATTTAATTAAATGGATTTCAGATTGTCTCTTTTTCTTTATTTAGTCTAGTATTCTTTAGCAAAAGATAAATTATGGTCAAATGCTTTTATTGGTGTTAGCTCTAAATAATTGGTTGGGTGACTTAGTTGGGTTTTTATTATGAAACCTATGGTTAAGATTACATTAATTTCACAGTGTCTTTCAAATGAGGCAAATCATGGCTGTCTGAATTCAGCTGTATGTAAGGGATTTGCAAAACCACCTGGGGAAAGAACTGAAGAAATCTTTGGCAGCCAAAAGATCAACACTCTTGTCTAAGTGTCATTAAGTAGGTAGCACTGTAGTTGCTCTATTAAGGTTTACTTCGTTAAAATTCTATAGGTAATTCATTTCAAGATCATTCTACTTTGGGGCCACCAACCTATGGACCAGTTGTGTGGTTTTTTGTTTGTTTTGTTTTGAGGGAGAGTGGAGGGAGTGAAGAAGCAGTTGGGATTTAGTGACTTGTCCAGGTCCTTAACAGGCTGATTTTTCACCTGGGAGATGGTCATCTACCTGAGAATCAGTGTGGCTTCAGAAAGGGCTGAGGAAAGATTGATTGTGGTGTTTGCTGCCTGACAACTCCAGGAGAAACACCAGGAGCAAAACAGAGGTCTGTATACAACGTTTGTAGATCTGACCAAGGCCTTTGATACTGTCAGTCATGAGGGCTTATGGAAAATTAGGTCAAAATTTGGTTGCCTGGAAAAGTTCATCAGTATGGTACATCATTTTCATGACAGTATGCTTGCCCGGGTTCTGAATAACGAACAATACTTTTTTGCTTTTCTACTCACCAGGTCACATAGCTATTAAGTGTCTGAGGCTGAATTTTGAACTCAGGTCTTCGTGACTTCAGGGCCGAGGCTCTATCCACTGTGCTACCTAGCTGCCCCTGGACCAGTTCTTTGAAAAAATTATCACACGTTATAGTGCTTTATATAATTTAATAATTACTCATTATAATGATTGCATTTACTTATGCAAACTTTTAAGGTTTGCAAAGTGTTTCACATGTATTATCTCATTTGATTCTCACAACAACCCTGTGAGGTAGGTGCTGTTATCCCATAGATGAAGAGATCTTAATTCTTATTTTGTTCTGTGCCTAGATCATGGATTCCTAATAAGTAAATCAATGTCATAGAATCACATAGTTGGAAAGAACCTTGGAGGTCCTTTAGTTTGGGGCCAGTATTTTTAAAAACTCTCTACAATTTTTATTCCCCACACCTACCCCCCCAACAATTAACAAGCATTTTTCTCTCCTCATCCTCACCCTCCCAAATTGAATTAAAAAAAACCCTCATAACAAATATGCATTGTCAAATAAAACATTCCCTTGTTGATCATGTCCAAAACTGTCTCATTCTACATTTTAAGTCCACAACCTCTTACAAGAAGTGGATAGTAGCATGCTTCATCTTTCTGGCATTGTGGTTGATCATTGTTCAAAAGTTCTCAAGTCTTTTGACATGGTTGTTCTTTATAATGTTGTCATTCTATAAATTGTTTTTATAGCTCTCTCCTCAGTGTATCAATTCATAGATTTCCAGTTTCCTATGAAACTGTCCATTTCATCATTTCTTATAGTGCAATAGTATTCAATTATATTCATAAACCATTCATTTCCAGTTTTTTTTCTACTATGAAAAGAACTGGAATAAGTATTTTTGTACATATGCCTCTTTTTCCATTTTTTCTTTGATCCCTTTGGGCTGTATGTCTTAAAGAAGTATTACTAGGTCAAAGTATATGTATAGTTTAGTGACCTTTTGGGCATAATTCCAAATTACTTTTCAGAATGGCTGTACCGATTCACTGTTCTACCAACAGTACACTAATATGGCTCTTCCCCTGTATACCCACAATATTTTTCATTTTTTTTCTTTGTCATCTTTGCCAATCTGATGGGTTTAAGATATGCTTTAATTCACACTCATATGATTATTAATAATTTAGAACATTTAGAAAAATGTTTGTTGATTAATTGAAATTTTTTAAAAAAGATGTCATTAGGGATATGAATGCAGGAAAAGGGTGTAGGCCAGTCATTTAGCAAGAGTAAGGGCTAACAGCCAAAATGTTGCACTGGCATCCATGGAGTGACAAAAGGGCTGAGGGGAAGGTCTCTAGCGTATTGGGTAAGTTCCCTGTGGAGGACTTATTAACGAAAGACACAAGTGAGAGCAAGAGAAGTTGAGAAGGAATGGCTGGGTTGGGATGTGGAACAACAGAGGCCTGCGCGTTGATGAGATATCATGGATACATATAAGTCTTTACATATCTACTGACCAAGATAAGTGATGTCTGAGGGTCCAGGAAAAAAAAACTTTCAGCTGTGATCTTGAAAATACTAGTTACAATTATGAAATCATGGATAAAATGAAAACTGTCTAAAGACCAAGATGGTCAAATGTTATCTTGAAATAAAGGCAGATCAAAGGAAAAAAATGTTTATTGATAGCTTGAATTTCTGCCTTTGAAAACTGCCTGGTCAGCATTTTTCAGATGAAGAAATTAAAGTTATCGTCATGTGAAAAAATGCTTTTAATCACCATTGATTAAAGAAATGCAAACTAAAATAACTCTTAGGTACCACTTCACACCTATCAGATTGGCTAATATGACAGAAAAGGAAAATGATAGATGTGGGGTAAGATGTGGGAAAATTGGAACACTAATGCATTGTTGGTAGAATTGTGAACTGATCCAACAATTCTGGAGAGAAATTTAGAACTATGCCCAAACGCCTATAAAACTGCATACCCTTTGATCCAGCAATACCACTACTAGGTCTGTATCCCAAAGAGATCATAAAAATGGGAAAAGGACCTACATGTACAAAAATATTTATAGCAGCTCTTTTTGTGGTGGCCAAGAATTGGAAATGGAGGGGATGCCCATCTGAACTGGGGAATGGCTGAACAAGTTGTGGTATATGAATGTAATGGAATACTATTGTGCTATAAGAAATG